AATGCGTTCTTGTTGACCAACAAACAAATGTCCCATCGGCGCCTGGATCGAGCCGAACGAACACGTTACGTTAAAGGTTTCGGAGGCATAGGGACGCGGCCTTAGGCCGTTGGGGGTACGAACTGTATACAAACCCTACAGAACAATCGCCAATGTTATCTCCAAGCCAAAAGACCCGACCCCGCCAGAGGCAGAAAGGGTCGTGATCTACCAGGTACAGTGCAAGGAATGTGACGCTTCCTACATTGGAGCGACGGGATGAAAAAGAAAAACAAGACTAAAAGAACACGCACGGGATCGCCACCCGCTTCAAGTCCGAACTCGTCGACCACGCATGGACGTCAGGACACCAATTTGACATTGACAAGGCATCGACCTTGGAGGGGGATAAAAAGTGGGAACCGAGGAAGCTGCTGGAATCTTGGTTCATCCAGAATGACAAACGCGGAAGTGATTCATTGCTGGTAAACAAGAACCGTGGCCCCCTGCCGGACGTGCACACAAACTTTATGCCTAAATAACCGAACTTTTTTGTGCGACTCTCACTCGCTCTGCGCTCTACTGAAGATGCCTCCCGCATGGGAGGCGAAACGTTTAATTAAATTGCTATTTTTGTTATGTCAAGCCGTTTTTGTTATTACATTTATCACGTCTTCGCCCGGCTTCTGGAGTATTTTTGCGCTCCTAATTTCACCGGCACGACAGCCATGGGAGGCCACTGCGAGCAAATGGGGAAAGAAATAATTTAGGCCTATCGGATGGCGACAAGCCCGGAAAACATAACCACCCCGTCCATTTCGCTCTCAAGAAAGGAGATTATCTTTCTGAGGCCCTTAAAGGGCCCATAAAACGATTTTTGGGTTGGGATAAATCATTTTAGATTGGGATTTTACTAATAGTACATCGTTCAGTGGACCAAAAGAAAAAAGGTAGAAAGTCAAAAGCCTAACTTTCAGTGCGAAAATTTGAAAACAGAGCGGACTATTTCGCACCTCCTCCCCTTCGCAACCTCTCTGCCTTTTTACTGTGATACATCCGCTGTCCCAAAAGCGCGTTATCGGGTCCAAACTGACGTCACACGCAACCGGACCTCACTTATTCCCTTCACCCCTAAGCTGACATTGTGGTGGAAGCTACGCGCTTGCCGGACCAATCAGCCGCCTCCCTTTCATCACCTGACTTCATTCTCTGCAGCTACATTTGCCACGCTCACGTGGCAAGTGTGGCTGGCCCAACGAGCACGTAGCTTGAACAGCACTGTCAGCTTCGGAATGAACGGGGTGGGGAAAGCAACTTTTGTCTGAATTTTGAGCGACGGGCTAATCTTCTAGGGGGAGAATGGATGTGTCCGGATTACACAAACGAGAGTGCGAGCAAGAGGGGACTCCCCCTTTTCGTCTCCTTTAACTGTTTGGTGGAATGCGCGATTTATGAGCTGAGGAGGAAAGCTCAGGAAAAAGTTGGAAAAGCGTTTCATGACCCCTTTAATGGAAGCCGAACGCTGACAGACTAGGCAAGGCGACAAGGTCACCGGCAGAAGCGGCCTTTCCTTTTATGCGTTGTTGATTCCCCTTCGACCTCGCCTTTTGCAAATCCTCCCCACCTGCTTTTTCGTCTTCGTGTGGCTGTCAGAGAGCGCGACAGCCGCTTTAAGCAAATCAAAAGGATGAAGCGAAACGCGTGACTCAGCGTGACCTCTCTACATAGGACGCGTAGGGCAAAAACGTTTGAACGAAAATTTGTCACGTGACTTTCTCTGTCACGCTGATGGGATCTCTGGGGCTGTCGTTTTCGCCGTTTGCCCAGTTATAGAAATAAGCAGGCCACGTGGGTCCGGTTTTCGAACTGTGCTCTTCAGTGTTCTGTTGCTTTCGTGCGTTGCAGACGCGGCCGTGTTTTTTCGTCGTAAACGGTCGGAATATGTCCATGCCAATTTTTCGGTAACAGTCATTTTTTGCACCGGAGTTCGTGGAATACTTGTGATGTGTTTGTTAGACACGCTTCGACAAAAACTGCTCTTCGCCGACGACGAGACGTCAGTTGAATGTGCGCAACCTTGTTCCTCGAATGTGTTTGTGGGGTGCCTGAGTTGGATTATGCATCTATCAAGGATTACATGATATCGCTCTTTCATTAGTAAGTGCACTGCAAGCATGATTCTGATAGTCGTCCTGCTTTCCTTTCATTCTCCGCGGTTTTACGTGTGATGAGTTTTGGTTGGCATGAGGACAGTGTTAATTGTATTTTATAATTTGCTTGTCGTTTTACAGAGAAGTGTGACCTTTGTACATATATTGAGAATACACTGCGTGTAATGATAGTTGTTTAATAAACTTCTGGGAGCGATTGAAAAAAATTTGTTTGTCCGTATAAGTGATGCAACGTACACATACTTGCACGACGTTCGGCCAATACGAAGCAGACGCATCGTAGAGTTTTCGCACAATATTACGCGAGCGCTAGGCCGGGGCGAAACAGCTGTACGGCAATACCTGCCGGGTATCAAACGGTGGTGCATAACTGGACAGTTGAGCGATATTGGAACCAACTTTCGGCCGGCACTGGCACGATACTGCAAAGTATTGCCGTGCTGCTTGGGAACGGAGGTGACGACATCTTACTATCGTGCTTCCAACGGTTATTTATTTTATTTCTCTTCTGGGACGCGTAAAAGAGCACTTCTGTGACACACCAGAGATATTCGAAACTTGGGCTGGCCTCTCGGCTTTCTTTGCCACTTTTGGCAGTTATTTGGCACTTCAGTGGGTAGCCAGAAAAGAGCCAAACTTCGGCATGCCCCGAATCGACAAATTAAGATTTACTGCGGCAGTTATGGCTCAAGTCTGGCACAACTGTGGCGGACCAGAGAAAAGCCAAACTCGGCGAGGCTGAAATACCGAAATTAGGCGTTGCTTTGGTAGTTATGGCTCAAGTATGACACACTTCGGCACTCCTGTGGCGTATCAGAGAAACGCCAAATTTTGGCGTGTCCGAAATACCCAAATTAGGTGTTGCTCTGGCAGTTATGGCTGAATTATTGCATCAACTTTGGCGCTCCTCTGGCGGGCCAGAGAAACGCCAAACCTTGGCACGTCCCAAATACCGAAATGAGGCGTTGCTCTGGCAGCTATGGCTGAAGTATGGCACCAACTTTAGCGCTCCTCTGGCGGACCAGAGCAACGCCAAACTTTGGCATGTCCAAAATACCCAAATTGGGCATTGCTCTGGCAGTTATAGCTCTAGTATTGCACTACTTCGGCAATCCTGTGGCGGACCCGAGAAAAGCCAAACTTTGGCACGTCCCAAATACCGAAATTAGGCGTTGCTCTGGCAGCTATGGCTGAAGTATGGCACCAACTTTGGCGCTCCTCTGGCGGACCAGAGAAACGCCAAACCTTGGCACGTCCCAAATACCGAAATTAGGCGTTGGTCTGGCAGTTATGGCTGAAGTATGGCACCAACTTTGGCGCTCCTCTGGCAGACCAGAGAAATGCCAAACCTTGGCATGCCCCGAAATCTCAGATTAGGATTTACTATGGCAGTTATGGCTCAAGTATGGCACCAACTTTGGCACTCCTCTGGCGTACCGGAGAAGAGCCAAACTTTGGCATGCCATAGGATCGCCCAACTAAGGCTATAGTTAGGCACCGTACTTTGGCACTGATGAATGCCATGGTGCAAAAACCTAACTGTGCCAAAGTTGGGCCCTTATGTTTGCCAGACCTTTGCCCAAGTTGGGCATTCCTCTGGCGTGCTACCTGGGGGAGGTCACGTTCTCGGGGGGGTCATGTGATCTGGGGGTGTGCTCACGTGACCTTGGGGGGGGGGGGGGGTCACGTGACATCGGGGGATCACGTGACCCCCAGAGGGAGTTTTCCGCTAGATTTAGCGGGGAAAGTTTTCCGCTAGATTTAGCGGGCAAATTTTTCCGCTCGATTTAGCGAGGAAATTTTTCCCCTAGATTTAGCGGAGAAATTTTTCCGCTAGATTTAGCAGGGAAATTTTTCCGCACGATTTAGCGGGGAAACGTTTCCGCTAAATTTAGTGGGGAAATTATTCCGCTAAATCTAGCGGGGAAATTTTTCCGCTAGATTTAGCGGGGAAATTTACCCATAACGCACCGCGCGGTTACGCCGACGGCGAGGCCGCTCAAGCCGAAAGCGGGCGCCTAAGAGCTGCGCTCTAAAAACTAAAGCAAATTTATAAGACGAAGTCAGGGCCGGCTTGCTACACTTTGTTTCACCTTAGCATGGACTATTGTAAACCGCGCATGCTAAAAGAGCGGGCTAATGCATTGCATGAAGCCCCGGTGGTTGCACGAGCGCTCGTGCAGCGAGTGCTCCAGTCAAAGCAGTCAGGCTAGCCGCTCGCGCTTGTACAGCCTTCGCAGTTAGTTCATGCTAAAGTGAGACGAAGAATATAATCAATGTCTTAGCTTGGACTGTGTGAAGGAAAGCCTGCCAAGCCTGGAGCGCCCAAACGCTTGAAACTCGGCTTGACGCCACTCCGCTCGTGCGCTGGCTTCTGCAGTACTTTCTTTCACACAGACTCAGCTAAGGTGCTAATTCTATTAAGCCAGCCCAGACTTTGTGCATGAACCACTCTTAAGATTACATAAAGGTAACAACTTTAATCGGGTGTTTACACTATACTCTGTTTCACCTTACGATGTACCGCAGGAAAGGCTACAAGCGCGAGCTCCTTGTTCTAAGGCGCATCTCGGCGGTACAAGCTCTCGTGCGTTAAAAGCAGCTCTCAACGCTATGAGCTCGCGCTCCTGGCCTTCACTGCGGTACAACATAAGATGAAACGGAGTATAGTGTTGACACGAATTCTGATCTCATTTTATAGGTGTGCAGCGATGTGCAACGATATGTGCAACATGTGCAACGATAAATACGAATTCATCCATACGTGCACGTGCAACTATGAAATTTGCAAATAAATTATATTTAAGAACTTTCATCATGCTCTTAACGATGCATTGATTTTACTGCGGCTGTTTTTGAATAAATATGTTTATTTATAACCGAATTACGACACTTAAAATATTGTATCTGGATTCCGCTCAAATTCTCAGTGACCCGGCGTGTCGGGGCATTTCACAGGAGACACCACGTTTATGTGCAAGGCGAAGGTGCAGGTCACAAAATGATTCCACATGTTTTGTTTTCTTTTTTTATCTGTTAGACCAGCTACCCGCATAGAACTGAGGAGTCGACGACGCCTTTCTATTTCAACGTCGGGAAGACGTCTTCTCAAACGTTGTGCAGACGTCTTCTCAAACGTTGTGCAGACGTCTTCTCAGACATTGTGCAGACGTCTTCTCAGACGTTGTGCAGACGTCTCTTCAGTTCAATGCCGGGAAGACGTCTTCTCGGAGGTTGTGTCAACATTTCTTCAGTTCAACATCGGGAAGACGCCTTCTCAAACGTCGTGTAGGCGTCTCTTCATTTCAAACTTTAAGCGACGTCTTCTCAAACGTCGTGTAGACACCTCTTCAGTTCAACGTCGGGATAACGTCTTCTCAAACTTCCTCTAGACACCTCTTCAGTTAACCGTCGGCACGACGTCTTTTCCATAGAATCATTAGACGACGTCTCCTTAGTATGGCGTTGCGATGACGTCCCCCCGGTCCAACGTTAAGATGACGTCCCGTCAATGTCTAGACGAGGTCTCCTTAGCCAACCGTCAGAACGAGGTCGTCTGGGGTCTCGATGGGGCTGGCAGTTCGGCGTGCGATGTGTCCCGCTCACTTGCGGAGTCCCTGGAGGCTGTTCCTGGCAACGAACGCGTCGTGCTCCTGCAGCACCTCGGCGATGTGGCTGCGGACGGCGTGGGCCCTGTGGCGCTCGTCTGCGCGTACGGGCTGGTCGTCCAGGTACACCAGCTCCGGGAAGTGCGAGATCACATACAACCTGAAAGAGGCAGGAAGAGAGAAGGAACGTTGACTGGACGCACATTCTTCCAGGCTTGTTCCAAGTTACGCACCTAAAAAGAGTAAGCCCGAGATGAGAATCTGAAATTAAATAACGATAAACCTCACCTTACTATTTTTTTAAAGAATTCCGAAAACAATCTTAATTATTGGCGTGCTGAGGTTAAAAAAAAAGTGTGTGCGTGTGTGTGTGTGGGGGGGGGGGGAGGTTTTGCTTTTTAGGGAACTGCCATATAACGCCCATTTGCTCGAATTTTTTATCCAATATCTTCTAAAACTAGCGATACTCCGCTGAAATCACTGAAACGACGTTCGCAACTTCTGTGATAAGGGAAGAAAGAACCGAGCTCGCTTAGGACGTCACAGTCGAACTGTGACGCAGCAGGTGACTACAGGCAAGGTTGGACTCGATTGGGACGGGTGGCTTCGCCGTTGCACAGCCGGGAGCGGCATTCCTTATGGAAGCTTTGCTTTCGACTTAGAAGCAATGAGAGTTTTTCTACCGCGTGGGGGCGCGACAACGCCATCTCTCCCAGAGAAGTTAATACAGAGTGTGTTTGGCCAATGGGCGGAGCTTGTTGCCCGCTAGAACCAGCGGATTTTGCGATAACACAATATGGCGTTCCTTTGTCTTGTTTATTCCTGAGAAATCGCATGGAGTTCCTACGAGTCAGAGTCACAAAATGATGGACTGCAGTAGTCATCCCCCGGTTATCAGACTATGCTGCTGTGGTTGCCAGGCTGTCCAAATCTCCTTAAGAAGGCCAAACTCTCCAAGTATAAACGGCTCTGATCTCTCCTAAACCCCATCTTTCCTGAGAAGAGTGGCGCCGTTCATCGCTGCGGATATCCTCGAGACACGTGCCACGCGCCGCTTCTGGGAAGAACATGGCATCTGAAATCTACCTCAGTGCTGCGCTGTGCCGTCATGACCTTCCCAAGGGCTGCACGTCGCACTACTTTTAAGACATGAAGGGGAAAGCGCTTTAACCCCCTCTAATGCAAATACATCGAGGTGCTTTAAATGGAAACTGAAGCGGTTTTGTATTTGAGTGAAAACACTTAAATCGTCTTCATCTTGTCATTAAATCACAAGTATCGAGATTATTTTTCAATTTGGTGCACGGAGGCTGCAGAAAATCATTTTCAATGTACCGCTAATGCCCCTTCTTCTCGGAGCGCTACGTCATAAGAGGAGTTTTCGGAATCAGCGATCCCCCGCATCTTCAGCGCCTATCAAAGCTATGCACGCGCACTCTTGCTGTGGATCGGTGGCCGAGTGGGCTAGCGCACACCAGCTCGGAGCACGTGGAGCGAAAGCTCACGCTGCAGAACCCAGGGATCCTGGGTTCAATCCCCACATCCCCACCGCTGCCTGTTTCGACCTGGATAAGCATCGTACTGGTGTAAAAAAAAAGCCGTCAAGACTGATGTCAATTGCACGCGCTTGGCGGCCGAAAGATTATTTTCGAACGTAACGACTGGTCGGAGGGTTTTAGTGTTTTCTCGTGTTTAGTACCACCTTCGGTGAAAATGAACGTGATATTCAGATTCACAGAATACACAATTCACCTCTAACTCGTCTTTTTAAAGAACCTTTTAATGTTCCCTTTGACAGTAATAAAAATAACTTTATTTTTTATCCATTATGACTGTGGGACCTAAGAAAAAGAAAAGCTGCAGTCTGCAGCTTGACCACGGTGTAAGATAATACTCTTCAGCTGAGGGCAGCGCGCTCCTCGCGCTGAGCAGATAAAGTTCGCTTTTCACTCTCTCTTTCTCTCTCTCTCTCTATGGTTTCAAGCGGCGCCGGCAGATGACTCGTCGACCCGTGGACACGGCAAAGACGGCTCGTGCCGCCTCATGCTCCACACGCGCAGAGCTCCAGCGAGGTTGTCGCTCGTGCAAAAAGACGACGGTGTACGGGGGTGTTATGGCAACGAGATCATGTTTTTCGCTCTCACACAGTTTCGCCATTTGACCGCCGGCGACACTGTCAGCCGCGGGCACGGTGGCCGCGGAATAATGCAGCCTTTCGGATGCCCGTCGAACGAACACTATCTGATTCCTCGCGCTGCGCGTTCAGCCCCGCCGTGTCCTCACCTAAAGAGTGTGTCGTACACCGTGACCTTGACTGGTGCTTATGTTCCTACAATGGTTAGCTACAAGCATGTAGGAAATATAGAATAAAGTAATTACACGCACAGAGAAAGCGACAATTGAAACTCAAATGACTACGCGTATTTTAACCTATCAAAGAAACAAAACAAAAACAGAAATCACGTGCAAAAATACAAGCTCAAATCTTTAAAAGTGATACAGCCTAAATCCACATTATTAATATAAAAATTATTTAACAACTGTGACAGTGCAAGTTTAAGCATTTGAAATCCATAGTTCGTTCGCTGAGTGACCATCCATCACCTCTCTGCGCGGCGAATGGGGTATGTTGGTAAATTTTCCTCCAAAGACGCAAGGTTTCTTTTTAGAAAAAAACATGAGCCCCTTATTTTTTTCTTCTTAAACTGACGCATGGTTTATATTCAACTTGTCTCTTAATATAACTTGTAAAGAGAAATTATCTTGAAGTTCTCAAATATTTCAGGAGTGTGAGTGTCAAAGAATATTACATATACGCTCCTTAATATATATATTTTTGTTACAGAACCAGTTTTCCCATTTTGGTCAGGGTTGGTGAACCCCAGACTAGATGGCAGCATGTTAAGTGAGAGTAAAAGAGAGAGTTCTAAATGAACAATTTGGCGTTCGCGGGCAACAGAGAGCGGTAGAGATTTAGGATTCGTATCACTCGGGATAGCTCCGGGATAAGATAATTTAATCCCAGGACATGTTCTCATTAAAAAATACGCCAACAGTTTTGAAGGAACTGACTATTTTGATGGGATAGGAAGTTATTTAGATAGTACAACCGGCTTGCTTTTTGGAAGGAAAATGACAGATTTTGTTTGATTAATGATTATTTTTAAATAGTTACTATCGCAACAGGATTTTATCTTGAATAAAGTCAGGTTCGCCATATCCATTAAACCATCACTTAGTTCGAAAAAAAAATATGCTTGTATTATTTGCGTAGCTGACAATGTTCGCTTTCTTATTAGCGTTCACAATGTCGTTTGCGTGTAAGTTAAAAGAAGTGGTCCTAAAATACTTCCTTGTGGAACACGTGGCGTGATAGGTTTTATTCCGGAAGAGTAATCCTAAAGCCTCTTGATGAAGGCGTATTTTACAAGTACACCAACCATTGTTTTCGATAAAACTACTTGTAACTTTTTCTACAACTTGCAGAAAAAAAAAAAAAACCTTCATTAAAGGGTTTTAGTAGCAGATCTAACTAGCCTGCAAATTCCTCCAATAGACCAATTTGATCAGTCAGTTTGGCTATGCCACCGTTGCCACAATGCATCGAGGGAACTTTCGTCTTTCTGCACCTGCCCGATTCTCGCTGGAGCTCTTCGCGTGCAGAGCACGAGACGGCACGAGGCGACTTGAGCATTGCCGCCTGCCTCTTGTGAGCTAAATTTATGGCGGCTTCACGCATGCGCCGAACGCTTGGTGAGATCGGTCTCACTGTGATATCAGGGTGTTTTGTTAGAATGAGTTAAAGCGCCGTAGGAGGGGCGAGGTCGCAGCAACCCTACCGATCTGCGGTGGGAAGGACAAACTATCCCCAAATGTGGGGCAAAGCGCGCCTTTTCATTCTAGCCCGGCCGTGGCCGCATCGAAAGAATGGTAACCGGACAAAAGCTCACCCTTTTTTTTTTTTTTTGCTGCCCGGGCGAAACACGGGCTGGGGTAAAATGCGGACGCGATTGACATTGCACCATTTTTAGGAGAACTGGCATTCCATCCCATGGAAAGGTGTCGACAGATAAACGATAACAGGCAGAGACGCAACGATTTTGGACTGAAATTTAGGTCACTGAAACTGAGTGGAGCTGATAAGATAAAGCTTGCTTGACTCAAGGTATGCCGGAGCACCCTTGTGCCACGTTCAAGAAACTTCGTGAACCGAAGTTTTTGAACCCGAAGAGTGACCGAAGAAGCGAAGTCACCCTTCTGTGACGTCGCTTTGTCATTGTACTTATGTCACGCGAAACGCGCACATAAAGGTTAGGCACAATGTCATCACTAATGCATGGGTTTTCTTGGGCAATATTTGAAGTGAATGGCTAGGAAATTTAAATAATTTCCGTCACTGAGCGTCGTAATAATGCATTGGCAATGAAGGGTTGTTTCAGGGTGATGTGAAAGGGAAACTGAAGAAAAACTGTAATGTAAAAAGCATTGAGTTGCGATTTTTTTTAATATATTGAAAAAGCGGGAGTTGGGCCTTTTGGACAAGTGCAAGACAGACAACCAATTTAGAAAGCTGTGCGGAATTTTGGATAGGCTGGCGTTTCTTCCACCACAGCTTGTGCCCGAAGGACTCACCTACACCAGGGACAAGTCTGCCGGTGACATCGGCGACCTACTGGACTACTTTGATTGCATGTATGTCAACGGCCCCTTCAGTTATGCTTTTGCTACTTCTGCGGCGGCACCCAGAGCGAATTCTTCTCTGTGCCTGACTGTGCGCCGACGACGACCGGAGTTTCCTCGGGAACGGCGGAATATGTGCGACGCCACTCTTCAAAATAAAGACCGCACGAACAACAACCACGAAGGATCTAATACAGGGTTCCAGAAGTTTGCCGGACACGCCTATGCAAGCGTCTGGAGGCTGATTGAATGCCTACATGAAAAGCAGGCGCTCGTTGCCACGGCATTGACACAAGCCCGGAGGGGTGAACCCCCGGAGAAGCGCGCGGGTGCGAAAAACCACTCTGCGCCTGCAAAATCGCCTCTAAAAAATATTTTCGAGCAGTTCCAGGTACACCCAGATCTACCAAGACTGCTGGAGCTAGTAAGGGACTGCATTCGCGCTTCTAACCAATCGATAAATAAACTTGTTTCCACTCTAATCAGCAAACCATGCAGCTGTTAAATTTACTTTATCGTTGTATTTTAGTGCCGCACGCATGCGCCTAAGTTGTCCGCACTCGTGTTAAGACCAACATGAAATTTTCTCCTGGTGAGCTTTTGTCCGGGTCTGTGAAAAAAATGGTGAGCTTTTGTCCAGTGAGCTTCTGTCCGGTGAGCTTCTGTCCGGGATTCCAAAAGAATTCAGCACGAGCTCCTGTCTTCGTGGCGGCTCTGCGATATTGCTTCCAGAGTCCAGACTCTGGCATATTCAAGTGGTTTACCCAAAGCATTACGGCAAGCTAACTCACAAGCTTTGTAAACACTTATTGAATCTTATCGCGTAGTCGAGTACAAATTATTGTGCGCATGTTTATACATCTGGACGTTATTCTGCCATAGTGGCGGCATATTGTCTGAGCCGTAGATGAGCAATTTAGCCAGTGCTGTACAACCGCTAGCCTGGGGTCTTTAACGTGCATCATAGAATGGTGACACACGACCCTCACGCCGTTACGATGCTCATCCAGATGGAAACGGGCAGGAGTGACGATTAAACTAATCGAGTACTGTAACCTCACATTTTATTATCACGTTTATTTCAGGTTTTTCTAAATTCAGTTCGTGCAACGGTGGCCAGAGATGAAATATTTAGCCGATTCACTGCAGTTTGACAATATTTAAATAACTAAAGAAGACGATACTCCTATCACTTTTCCTTTGCGATATGCTATGCCATTATCTTTTGGACATTTCCCCTTCAGCACTTTCTATACCATGCGTTGGCTTGCGATTGCGACAATTCAGGCTTTGAAGTAACTTTAACCACCAGTTGCAGAGAATTATACCAGACGGAGACGAAGATGAGCTCGTAGCTATAACTTCTTCCGTCAGTCGCTAAGAATTGAACCACAGGCGAACATCAAATCCTCAAAGATCACGTAAAAAAAAATCAGGACAGATTCTATCTTGTCCTGGTGCGCGCTGCTACTAATACTAAGGGTCGCAACCGTTTATATATTGGGAGAGATATTCAGTTTTTCAAAGATGCGAACAGTCCACCACTGCTGGGGGTCTGTTAACTGTGAAATGGTACCTTCCCTCCGCCATCCTTTGTTGGTGACCCATAACAATGACTGTTTCTCGATCCACGCCACTTTGTTTATCGCGAAGTCGGCTTGTTCTTGTGAGCCCCAAGCTCCGTTGGTTGGCCATGGTCTGTCAATATAGACCTAATTCACAAGGGCGCCGCCATCTTGAAATGTCGTCACTTCCAGTATGGGCGAAAACATTGTTTTGCCGTTGCCACGCTAATAGGATGCATTTAGGATATAAGCATAAACGTCACCCATTTTCGTTTTGTCTACCCTTCATTTATTTATTTTTTTTTTTTTTTTACTATTTGCTAGTTGAACTGTTCTATTATTTTTGTCGTCAAACTCGACGAAAGTGTGAATCGCCCTTTAACCATTACACGCATCTAAGCAAAAACCACGTTGCGTCGCGTCGCCGAGTGGCGTAACCATAGCAACCGCCGGCGACCATTGTTGACCTTCCCTTGTCTTATCGAGATGCCGAGCCACTAAAGCAGGCATTGACGAGCCTCCACATAGTCCAATGCTGGGGATAAGGACACGGTAGAATCTAGAATGGCACTAGCCTGCCTGTCCTGCTGTTGTAATGATGAAGTAAAGTGAACGAAATAAAGGGCGATTCACACATTTGCGTCGAACCCGGACGAGTGCCACTGCAACGGCTTGCGACGTACGGGTTGCTATGGCCACAGCCTGCGTCAGCTCTAACAAAACCGTTTTTACCCCGTTTCGTTGGAGCCGACGCAGCTGTTGCTACAGCGACCCTACGTCGCAAGTCGTTGCAGTCGCACTCCGTCGGACTCACGCAACTGTGTGAACCAACCTCGAAGCCGGGGTCACACTGCCCATACATCATATAAACGACAGTGTGCAAACACAAGTCACCGCCATATCCGTGGTTCGAATGCCGTGTGACTAGTTTCCTCCTTGAACTCGTTGCCATCCGACATTCGAAGCACGGATCTCGGATTCATTTGCAGTCTGTCTTTTGTATGATGTCTATATAAGCAGTCTGACCCCGCTTTAGAGAAAACGAAAACTGAATTTCGGTTTTGGCGGAGCCCCTGCGCAGCTGCTGCAAAGCTTCTTATACACATTTTGCCGTGGCTGTGTATAGGCGCCGCCATTTCAGTGTCGCGCCGCCACGTCAAAGTGTCAGCGACGGTCGCTATGGTTACGTCGCTCGCGGAGCGACACGGCGCAGTTTTTGCTCGGATGTGCTGCGCGGGCGTCGTTCACCTGTAGTTTGCGTTCTGCTGCGTGGTGCCGCCGTTGAGGTAGGAGGGCGCCAGCTCGTTGCCCATGAGGCAGAGGACGCGCAGGCCCGGGCAGCTGCGCGCCAAGCCCGGCACGAAGAGCGTGGCGTTGAGGAGCCGGTTGAAGTTGAGCCAGAGCACCCGCAGCCGGGGCAGCACGGGCAGCGCAGACAGGCAGTCCAGCCGGTTGTGGTCTAGGATGACCGTGTGCAGGCACTCGAAATGCGACAGGAACCGGACGTCCCTGCCGATGGCACGGCGTGCATCAACTTCTCCACCCCGTCTCACTACTATTCAGATTCACAATCCGCCCTTTTGTTGTTCCATGTCGGCGTGACGACTTACACTAGCAATTCGAGCACGGGAATGCATGTAATGCTCGCCTTAGGTTCGCGCCAGAGAGTTCGTAACAACAGAATGATGGACGAAATTGACCCTTTTCAAAAGTCCATCCAGCAACTTTGGTGGTTACCATTGTTTGGACGCGAGGCGCGTGGCTGGATCCGAGTACTCGCCGAACGCTGACGTCAGCACTCGTGTCCAATCCGAGCTGAGCCGAGTACATGCTCAGAGTAGGTAATCAAGCAATGGCGGACAGGCGTTGGCGCAGATTTTTGAGGAGGGTCCATTACGTCAGTGAATCAAACAATGAGAGTAAAGTGAGGGCACAGCGCGATGGTATTTTCTCGCTTCGTACGAGTCATAACGCAAGACACCGTGCTTCCTATACCAAAATGAGTTGCTGGGTGAGTCGGTTAGACATATTGAATTAAAGTGTGCGAATAAGGAAAGGAAGAGACAGCACTCTTTCCTTCCTGTTGTCTCTTCCTTCCTAACCTTATTTGCTATTCCTATACGACACGCTTGCACCTTTGCGTTACACATTGTTGTCCTGTGCGTGATTCTGGGGATGGAGTATTGGCGACCCCAGCGAAACCTGTTCACGTCGTTTCAATACTCCGTATATCTTTCGAAAGCAACCGGGTGTTTTCAGATTTTGGTGCGGTCAGGGTTAAGCAGTCTCAAATCTCCGTGCTGCATACATCGTACAAAAAGAACAGTTGTTAGAAGACGCTGTCTCAGGTGTGTTTCCCCCTAGTATGACGGTCACATCGGTCGTACAAAACCCATCTGGAGTCAAGTTCAAAGCATGTATGAAGCAAACATGCTTAGAACATGCTTGATGCGTGATCATCACATGTCTGCAGCAAACACCGTGTCTTCTGCGTGAAGTATTCGAGCAGTGTGACACTGCTTATGCATAGTACAAAAGTCAGTCTGCACACAGATTCGAGCGGGAATAATCGCGAGATCCCTGCTTCGAATGCCGCGTTGCAATGAGCTCAAGGAGGAAACTTGGCACTCGGAATTAGAATCACGGATATTGCGGTCACTCGTGTTTGCAGACTGTTTTTTTTTTTTTTTTTTTGTAGGATATACGAGCAGTGTGATCACGGCTTAAAGGGCCACTGACAACACCAATATCGGTATTCTTTTGTTTACCGTCTCAAACGCTCCGAAAGCACCGTGGTGAAACACACAATAAAAAAAAAATATCGCAAAAAAAAAAAAAAAAACTTTTTTTTTTTTTGTAGCGCGTTGAAAGAGTTAAGGTGCGTGTGTGTCTCCTGCTCCCTCAAATTAAGCTCCTTCTCGCTTTTTTTCCCCCTTTCTTTTGGGAAAGGGGGGGGGGGGCGCAAGTTGCATGTTTGTAAAAATATTACTGTCATTCATAAAATACGTGCTTTTACGAAGACTGTACTACTTCGAAAAATAAAACTCGGAGTGCGGAAGTGTTCATGAGAAAACATCGGGAGTCCTGCTATAGCTTTTCCTTCATATACTTTCAACATGGCGGCACCCGGCGGCTGTGCTCAGGGCGTTGAGAGGACGGAAAAGTGCAGGACGGCGCGGACGAGTCGGTGCCGGATAAGCTCTCGGATAGGTTGGGATAACCTCTCATGCAGAATCTTTGCCGGTTGGCCGGATGGCGCGTGCGCGTGCCAGCGAACGACAAGAGAGAAATCAAGAAAGTTAAACGGCACTTCCTATTTGAAGTCATCCGAAAAGTCAAATAGTGTACCATTTCGCTAACTACGTCATAAATTCGGGCGGACGTTTCAGATCAAGCTTCCTGAAAACATTTTTTTTTCTCCGCAAATACGCAATTCTCAAGCTTGATATTTTTAGGGCGATCCCTCGGAATCATTTACAAACGTTTGCAACAATATTAAAACAAATGTTGATGTTGGGGTTGTCAGTCTTTAAGCGATCGAGGCATCATAAGTGCCAAGATAGGCGGGACCGTTATTCGAGACGGCATAAAATATTCACAGCTGGGGAAAGAGGGGTAACGCCGACCTGCACGGAATATTTTCACGTTTCTCGGTACTGACCAAACTACGAGAGGCAGCGTGTTTATTGCAGCTATGAATTTTGACAGTTTAGACTAACGCGATTTTGATGCGAGTTAGCTTGCAAAATATACTCTTTATCAGTATAATGTTTGACTTGCATATTTTTTTTTAAATTTACCAAATGGCAAAAACACTCGTTCTTTTTTTTCTTTTTTGCTTGACGTTTGTTTTGCCAATGCCAATCCGCCAAACACTACGTTTGAGTCACCGTGTTTTTTGTTGTTGTTTTTTTTTTGTCATCGTTCATGATGACGTTTTTTCAGTGTGACCTTTACCGATGTGGCAGAGGGTGTGAACAACTTCGCCGTTGTTGAAACTCTCTTAGAGCGGCGACGTGGGCGAGTTGGTTCACGTTTAATCAATTTATGAAGCAGCGCGCCAGGCAACGAAGATGGGAGAGAGGTTCAACTCTCCGCCTTCCCCATCGGGGCTTCTATTTCAAGTGTGCCTTATCAATAATCATTTAAGAGCTGCCCCAAATCTCTATTTGTCGCGTCAAACTTCCGTTGGGGTTCCAACTTTCGTCTTTGACCAATCTAAGCGAAACAGGTTTCGCGCCCTACATTCGGACTGAGTCTGTAGAATTATATTTGAACGTGTAACTTCTGTCCAATAATGTGCAAGGGCATATTATACTTTTACTATCGCAGGTTCCAATACTCTCCTAATCATCAATACCGAAAAGTATTTGCGTTATAAAACTGGCTGGCAAACTGACATAAGTGATAACCACATAAATAATAAATGAAAAAAAGAAAAGAAGCTTTCGCAGAAAACAAAAGGGGAGAGTCAAACAATGTGTGGGGGATATCACTTGTTTGTTGCAAAATCCACAATCTACCAGGGTCCCAGATTACCTCGAGGGCTCTCTTTCACCGACATTCATGATAAGACGAGAAAGAAAATATAATTATTGTACCCTGTTCAGTTTTTACACGGGCAGAAAGGGGTCTTTTAGTGATAAAAGCACTCGGAGCAAAGAAGCCGAATGAAAAGAATTAAACACCGAAAAAGCGCGACTTTTGCACAAAATAAACACTAAAAACACGGAATCCGAAGTGCTGCCTTGCAAACATTGATTAATGTAATGAATTAACGTAATTATGATAAGCTGAAACCACCTTGAGAGAGTTGTGCGCATGCTCCTAGCACAGTGAAGCTTAGGCGTTGCAATGTTGTGCAGCCCCTAAATATATTTAAATTATCATTCAAACTCGGTGTCACTGTCGTGCTACAACGAGCTTCCTTGGCTACACGAGCGAGTGCTTAAGGCCCGTTCACACTATTGCGTTTGACTAACTGAGACAATACCACTTTAATCCTCTTGTGACTGCTTACGACCAGCTGTACTGCTGCGCAGCCGGTCATAAGACGTCAGAAAAGGTTTAAAAACCGGTCTAGTCTCAGTCCGTCATAGTCAAAGACGAGGCTTAAAGCCGGTTTTTAAGCCCTTAGTCACGGCTTATACGACCGGCTCCGCACCAGAGCAGCCAGTCCTAAGCGCCGTCGGTCACACTCTTGCGACCGAGTAAGACCGACAGAGACCAGACCGGTTTTTAAGCCTTTTGCGACTTCTTAGGACCGGATGCGCTGCAGCGGAGCTGGTCCTAAGAGATCGCAAAGGGCTTAAAAACCGGTCTGGTCTCTCTCGGTCTTACTCGGTCGCAAGAGTGTGAACGGGCCTTAAGCGCCGTTCACACACTTGCAGCCGAGTAAGACAGTAGGGCCAAGAGAGACAAGACCTGTTTTTAAAATCCCGTTCACACACGTGCAACCGAGTACAACCGAGAGAGACAAGACCGGGTTTAAGCCTTTTACGACGGCGTAGAACCTGCTGCTTACAACGGAGTATCGTAGGACCAACCGGTAGTGTTGAAGTCGGTCGTAGTCGGTCGGAAGTGTGTGAACGGGCCTTTAGCTATACGGCCTTTAAGGCTGGTTCACATTTTTGCCACCGCTGGGACCGACTATGACAGAATCGGTTTTTAAGCCGCTTGCGACCGCCATCGCCGCTGCGCCGCCCGTCGTAACCAGTCACAAGCGGGTTAAAAACCGGTTATGTCGGAGTCGGTCGCAGTTAGTCGCAGGTGCCTGAACGAGCCTTTAGTTACCGATCTGAACAGAAAATTACAGTCGGTGACAGGTTTAGAGCATAGGGAAGATCCTCCCAGCTCTTCCCACTTTAGCAAAGGTACGCTCGGCTGACGTAACCAAACGCCGCGTCAGCGTTCGGCTGGAGTTCGTGTTCTCCGGTCGCCCGAAGGGGAAAGGGGGCTCTTTCGTTACCATGCCGGCTGCTTGAACAATGCAGCATTCACGGTGCATAGCTCAGCACAAAATTCGAAGTGGGTAAAGCTCACATTTTCTGACGACTGCTTTCGGAAGAAAGGTCCGGCACTAACAATAAACAACACTTGGTTTACTGTTGGTATCTTTACGTTACACTGAGCCCCGCGCTTTATTGAAGATGACGTGGACATGCCCACAAGGCCTGTGGGAATGTCCCCAGGCCTTATATTAGGTAAGCGCCAAAATGCGGAGAAAACAAACGGGTTCGATCACCTCGCCAATAGCCTGTTACCCGTGCACGATCGATCCGATTTTACCTTATGCAATAAAGCTATATTCGCAACTAAGAAACAACGAGACTATCACAACCCCTTAGACACTACAGCTTCAAAACAGGGCAAGCTGACCCGGTACGAATGCGCATGTGACGTAATTCGGTGCCGACGTCAATTTGGTGCGCTGCAGCAATATACCCCAGTCACACTGGCAGGCGTCACAAAAGCGGTAAAAGTTAAAAAGGAAACGGCCTCATTTAAAAATCCACATGAAATTGATCAGACTACTGGGCATCAATAAGATGCTTGTTCTATCGGGATGCACGCGATCAGCTCTAGTTCATCAGGCCTCTTCTACACGGGGAAAAACGCGGATGTAAACAGTGTTTCATAGCTTCCTTCATTCACAGGAAAACAACCTATTAGTGCGTACGTACTTCAATTGGTTGTGGCTCAAGTCCAAAACCTCGACGTCGGACGTGTATTTCTCGATGAGGCTGTATGGCACGACAGTCAAATCTTCGTAAGCCAAACTCAACTGCTTCTTTTGCTGTTGCCCCGCCGGAGACAAGTTAGGCCTAGACACGGACACGGCCTGTGCGGCGCACATGTCGCCAAAATCATCCGGAGCACCGAAGCACCGCAAAATCCCGATGGAAGACGTCGATGTTTCCTCAACTCCGCTCCCACTGAGCCGCGCTGGCTACACTTTCGATTGTCGCGAAACTTCGCTCCGTGCCCTTTAGAAGTTAGGGTGCCAGCGTATCCGAAAATCAATATCGGCGATGATTCGTTCTCGGCGCAAACGTTACCAAAGAGATAAACATATCTCCGGCGGCTGATCCGAAACGGGTGACGACGGCGGGGCCCTCGCGTGCGCTCTAGAAGAGCCTAGCTTTAAGAGAGGCATCAACTCAAGCCCCGGAGGGCGCTCCCAATTGAATGGTGGACGCCTTTTGCGGGGGTTCGCCGGAAGTGTGCGTGAGCTTCGTCGTCGCGTGATGAGGGGCGGAGGTGCTTGCACACGATGGACGCTTCCTCTTTGCAGTTCGTACTTCAAAGGCGTCCTATAAACCACGTGACCCCAATCAAGCAGTTGGAAGCACTCTGAGATCTAGACGCACTATACGCGTACTGATAACTGGGAAATGGGAGAGTTGGGGGGAGAAAGATAAGGGGACGTGCCGCAGCCAAACAGTGCTCGAGGACATTCGACATGGTCGTTCCAGCGCGGGTCGGTTCGGTGGGAGGCGCCGTGATGAACAATCGTTAAAAATGTCCGCGTGGTCAGCATGATTGATTGTCTGTCGGTGGTGTCATCGCTCGTTTAACTGGATAAGCCTTCCTATCGAGCGAGAGCGAGGCACGCGGGCGGACGACGGCCCCGCACGCCTTGTCCTTTGTTGCTGGTACAGCTCCGGCACGGAATATCAGCAGCACGCAGATCCCGTGTTTTTGCTCGATGATGAACCGCAGGGGACGATACGACCCATCTGAGCCAATCTAGCGCCGTGAACGTGTCACGTGACCTTAGGCGCGCCGCTGTAACTCTTTTCAAGGTCACGTAACACGCACACGGCATTGGGTTGGGATCCGATGGCTCGTGCGTCCTGCGATCCATCGTAAGGTAAAACGAACTATTGCAATATTTTTTTGTGTTCTCCTTTTGAACATTTGCGTGTCATAAAAAACGTATAAAACTTTTTTTTTAGCAGTTTACGTTTGTGGGGCACGGCAAAATATCGATTTTGGTTTACGCGCGCTCGTCTCGGCAAAAAGGGCATCTTTTGATGCCCATACTTCGTTTCCTCCTGAACGTCCTTGTTTTTTGTTCCCCTAAACTGGACGGCAGCCGCCATTTTTAAGGAAGCAAACAAGGAAAGGGATATCTATACAGATATTAGGAAGCGTTTAGCCTTCCCAGAAGTTCGCATGGAGGGATCGGTGGCGACGCATGCACTGCAGCAAAAGCTAGCGCTGCAGAACTCCGAGGAGGGCATGAGCTCAAACCACAGTCCCGATGAACTCGACAACGGCGGACATTGTACCGGCGTGCATTCGTGTAATTGTTCTACAGCATCATTCAATTTAAAAGAATCCTCAGGTTGGTAGCTGCATGTGTTGGCTAAATTGCCTCTTATCAGATGCCACTTTAAAGCAGACTACTTCCCCTTTTCATCCTTTGTCGCATGGGCGCTGCCATCTTGGAATAACGCGACGCGGCCGCCTTAAGGTGGCTTCAAGTTCATATCGTCGCTCCTCTCTCCACTTCGCGCCCTGGCGAAGGCGTTGTATTCGTGTTTTTCGCCGCGTTTTACAGCCCTTTTTGCCCTGATTTGTAAAGTGTAGCCTGATACTTATAGCTAGTACCTATATGCCATATCCTTATATGCACAACGTCTGCACTTGATTTGATTGCACGTTTTGACTGTTTGCACCGTCGGCATAGCGGATACGCGTGAGGAAAGGAATCAGCGTTAGCATTGACGCACATTGAGTGTGTAGATGACTCTAAGACACACGAGGGTTGAGAGGCCAATTATCTATGACAGCGCAAATTCGCTAAGTGATAGCTGCGCAGTTAGAAAAAGCAATGTTTATTTATGAACACGCATTTATGATCTCAAAAAAGAAGGCACATATAGTTATCGCAAGGAGTTACTGTGTGTTTCTCGAAAGTATAGTGCACTTCCTTCATAAGAAACCAAAACGAATTGATGTTGATTATATGGGGAAATCATATTTGGCGGCATAGACATTCGCTTGTCCTGTTTATTTGTGAATTTAAATACACTATATAGACTTTGCTAGGTCTCATGTCTGCGTTCAATAAATTTTCTTAAGATATCCAATTTAATTAATTTGTTTAGACACAAAAGGGTTGCGCTCCCCGGGTGAAAAACGTCTCAAAGACGGCTTGCGAGTGCGTGACAAAAGCGCCCGAGGTACGTGATATGTGACGCCCGAAAAGAAGCCGTCTGCGTGGAAATCACTCGAGTGCCGCGTTGTCGATGCCGAATTTACTCTCGACGCCACTGAAAGTAAAAAAGCGTACTAGTACCTCTTCAAAGAAATAAAGACCTGCCCATACAAATCCGTGAAGTGGTGCCTGGCATTTGACTTCAGCCAAACTTACTAGAGGTAAATTCTCCTGCGCCATTTAATTTTATTCCGCAATTTATACGGAAGGCAGGCGTCAGACTTCAATTGCCGGGTTTGTCCCTTATCTCATATTCTCAATACGTTGGATATGTCCTTATAAAAATAGTTTCTTAAGGTTAACATTGTTAAATGCTGCTAATGAATACTTTAGCAGGGCTGGAGTTGAAAGAAAATGTCCTACTCGGCCTAGGAAGCGCCATGAAACATCTCTCAAGTACTTAGAAATATATATATCTTTTTGTTTGTTTTTTTCATTTTACGTGCTATTACAGGGGGGTTCCCGGTCGGGAATTTTCACAAAACGTTGATGTCCTCAAAAACCGAACAGTGAGCACTACACTAGCGAGTTCACCTGTTCTGTGCAATTCAGCACATCGTTAGTCAGGCCGTCGGCCTGCCTTTTCACTGCCTCTATGTATTAGACTCTTCATTAGTTTATTTTTATGGAAACTAGTATCAGCGGGTACGTGCAGTACGGCCGTAGACAACGCTAACCCTTTTCCGCATCATTTGAGTCGTTTCTCACCGCGGTACCTGGCCGGACGAGGAATATGATCAGACGAAGGTGTGCGTTAAAACGTCCACAATTTAGGCTTTTAACTACGTCTTAGTTCTCAAGGTTGCCGATTAGCACTGTGTCATTGCTTCTGTACATCAAGGGATACATTTATATCGCAAAACAAAGCAAAAACGACATAACACAGCTGCGAGCCCGCTGAAACCAAAACCACCCAAATTGGAGCCTCCTTCTGGTATGTGTATGTATGTAGGCATTTATGGGGCGCTTGATCTCTGCAATGAGCGTTTATAAAACAGACACGCCACCCCCCCCCCCCCCCCCCAAAAAAAAAAAAAAAAAAAAGAAACGAAAAAAAAAGAAGAAAAAACATGACAACAACGGAGTAATATTTTTTTTTTTTTTTTAGTTTCACAGGTGGACCGACCACTTAGCCTCGAGCCTCCGCTTCGTGCACCTCAGAAATTTGGTCTCTTCTGTAAATCCAAGAGCTTGCTCGAAGCGAGTACCGACGCCTTCTGTAGGTTCCAGTGCTAGACGCTCGAGAAGCAAATGTTGTAAAGTTTCGTCCACATCTCCACATGCATTGCACAGCGTGTCCGTTACGATGGTGTCATATCTTCAGTGCAGACGGGTACGCCAGACACACTGCGGGCCTCGGTGAGGAGGCGACTCCCCATCGTATTTCCACATCAGTGGATAGGAGCGATGTCGGTCTTGTAAGACGTGTAGAGGTGCAAACTTGAATGCTTTTACATATCTGCCTTGTAGCGGTCTGCCTTGACAGTCTTCATCTGTCCCCTAACCTTGGAAACCCAGTCGTTTTTTACACAATAAAGAAGAAGAAAGAAAAATGAAAGACGTTTACAGTCCCCTGTAACGCCGAATTAGAGCGCAGCTCTAGAGGAGGAGGAGGGGAAGGTACTGAGAGGGGGCTATACCCCTCCTCCTTTCCTGCTCGCCTCCCATTTCATTTGGGGGAAATTTTCCGCTAAATTTGGCGGAAAGCTTTTTCCCGCTAAGTTTGGAGGGAAATTTTTCTGCTAAATTTAGCGGGTAATTTTCTCACTAAATTTAGCGGGGAATTTTTCAGCTAAATTTAGCGGGGAAGTTTTTCCGCTAAATTTAGAGGGGCAATTTACCCATAATGCACCGCGCGGTTGAGCCGACGACGACGACGCTCAACCGGTGGTGGTGGTGAACTCTTTATTTCTCCCATAAACAGAGGGGACCAGTCCCAGGACCGGTTGCGCTCGCTTAGAGGAGGTCGGCGGCGATCCTTTGGGATGTCGCGGCCTCCACCGCGCGCTGGATAAACCGGCGTTGGTCTTCCGGCTCGGACGTACGCAGGAGGGACTCCCATGTCTCTGGGGTGTTCAAGTTGTCTGCGTTGTAGTGTGTACATGTCCACACCATGTGTATGAGGGTGCCCGGAGCTGAGCGGTGTTTGCACCTGGGTGCTATCTGTTGAGGAAAGATTTTATTGTATAAAAGCGGGTGTGGAAAGCTGCCTGTTTGTAGTTTGCGCCATTGGACGGCCTCGCGTCTTGTTAGATCGCGGTGTGCGGGAGGATACGTGCATCTTCCGGAAACGGGCGCCTAGGAGCTGCGCTCTAAAAAAAAGGTGTAAAAGTGGATTAAGCGGAAGGAGTTACGCTACCTTAAAGGGACCATGAAGGCAATTTATTTTTTATTTTTTTTTAAAGAGAAGGTGTTTTCGGAAGCATTGGGGTCCTGGCATGCCACACAATTTTTTTTCTAGAACGTTGTGACTCTTATTTCTGTACCTGCAAATAAATTTGCGAAACCGAAACAAACATTCAGATTTCTTCCCTTTTTCACCTCTGGAAAGAGAAGTGACGTCAGGGAGCACTGTCGGCATCGGTAGGATTTAGTGCACACTCAGTGTGGTTCCCGTGGCACGCTCTAGTGCACGGCGGTCTGTGAAGAAAACCTGGAAGAAATGGACGACAACGCCGCGCTCGCGAACGAGTTTGAGCTCCCGTTCAGCGACCTCACGCCGACTGAACGGGAGATGCTGCTAAGGACGCAGAACTCTGGATTGGCGCTTTACGAGGGCGCCTCAGACCTACCACCAACTCCTCGGTCGCCGCCTCAGAGCGACTCCCCGCCCCAGTTTTAGCCAGACTCCGGCTGACGTGAAGGTGCTGCCCAAAGTCGTCTGGTCGGAAATGCAACGAAC